AGAGGCTCTCCAAGGAGGAGCCTCCGCAAAAAGAGCTGAGGAGGATGGGGAGAATGCCCAGGGTATGGCGAGAGTGAGGAAAAGTAAACATGGATGAAGGATAACGAACAACATTATTATAACGGCGATGCCAGAAAAGGCAGCAAGGAGTTATCGTTAAAGTGTCCGCTTGACCTTCCTGCCTTTTCCGTCTGCGTAGCAATCTTCAAGGACCAAGGTGCATGGCGCGAAGCGCCACTGCAGTCTTGTGTATATATATATATATGTATATGTTTATGAATATGTATGTATGTATGTATGTATGTATGTATGTACGTATGTATGTATGTATGTATGTATGCATGTATGTATGTATGTATGTATGTATGTATGTATGTATGTATGTATGTATATATATATATATATATTATATCTATGTATGTATGTATGTATGTATGCATGCATGCATGTATGTATGTATGTATGTATGTATGTATGTATGTATGTATATATATGTATATTATGTATATATATATATATATATATATATATATATGTATATTTCAGAAGCCCTGCGACCTCTCGCCCGAGCAACGGGACCCCACAGAGTCCTGGCCCCGGGGGCTTCCTGGACGCCCCTACAGAAAAGATCCCCCCCAGGTGTCCCGGACGTCCCTGCTAGGCCTAGCCAGCGAGCCCAGAGCGGTCACGAGGGCGCCCAAACAGTCCCACGAGAGCCCCAAGCGGACCCACACACCCACCAGGCGCCGGAAAACGGCCCAAAGAACACTTCCAAGAGGCCCTAGATACGCAACATATCAACCTTCTCTGGTGGTTTGTGCAATCTTGAAATGCTCGCTTCTTCGGTTTTCCGGGCGTCCACTACCGTCCGAGATGCATCCAAGGTAGCCCCAAGAATGGTGGCCAAAAAGGCGTCATGATGGCCCAACGGAGCACCAATACAGCCCAACAGGCTCCATGATCGGCCCAAGAAAACCTCAAGACGGTCCAAGATGGCCCCAAGACCCCCCCCCAAAAACACTCCGAATCGGGACGCGGTCGTCGTGGGAAACTGCGAAGGGCAGCATGATGGCCTCAACAAGCGTCCAAAAGATGTTCAGGAGGTCTCCAGGAGCCCTCAACAAGCCTCAAGAAACATTCGAGGGGACCCCAAGAACCCGTTCCAAGATGGGCCTCCGAAAATAATGAGGACGGGTCCGCAAAAATGAAGACGGGGAAGGGTTCGCAGAGAATAGCGAGAACCAGGAAGAAGAAGAGTACAGATAAAGACACGGAGAAATAATATCATAAAGATAACGACAGCGCGAACACAGATACGCGGCCATATCATATCGATCCCTCCCTCTCTCTCTGTCTCGCTCTCTATCTCTCATTCCGCCGGTGCCCAACTTCAAGGACCAAGATGCATGGCGCGAAACGTCAACTAATGACTATATGTATGTATGTACGAATGATACCGGAGAAAAGCCCCAATCATAATCTTTTTCGGGTTGTAGGGCTATAGAGCTACAGGGCTATATGGGCTCTTGGGCGCTATATGGGCTATTGGGCTATATGGCTACATGGGCTATAGGCCTTTAGGGCTATTGGGCTATAAGGCTATAGGGTACCCCCGGGTACCCGGGCACCCCCGGGCACGCCCGGGCACCCGGGCACCCGGGCACCCCCTGGCACCCGGGCGTGCGGGGAAAATCGGCGGCAAACCTAACCTAACCATATGAATCCGCTAGGACCCCTACAGAGGCAAACTCTGATTGGGGAATGAATGAATGTATGTTTATGCTTGTGTTTATGTGTATGTCAGTATTTATGTGCACGTCTACGTATCTATATCCACACTTATTTATATATATATATATGTATATTTATAGATATGTTTTATCATACATGGTAGGGGACCACCAAAGTTCACCTGAAACTGTTTCTTCTGCTGTTGTTTCGAACTCCATTTCTTACAATTTGCTCGTCTTCGTCGGCGCCTCTGCTCAACCGTGCCTTCCCGTGCCCCCCCCCCCCTGGCGGCCTGCATCGATGGGAAGACCCAATGGAAAGCCCTGCTCAGTCCAAGAAAAGGATTCCCGGTTCAAGGGGCTCCTGCATCTACACGGCAGAGGCCCTTTCGACGGAGACCCTTTGAGCTCGCTCCCAGCCTCACAATCTCTGCTTTTTTTTGTTCCCTCTCTCTCTCTCTCTCGCTCTGTCTATGCCCGCCCCCTCCGTGCCCCCCCACCGTGCCCGACCGTGCCCCCCGTTGCTCCCCCCCCCCTGCCTCCGTGCTCCCCCCCCCCTCTGCTTCTCCGAACGACCGACGCGCCCCCCACCATGCCGACCGTGGCCCCTGTGCCCCCTCGTTCCCTGTGCCCCCCCCCCCCCCTGCTTATTCCGACCGACCGACCGTGGCGCGGATTGCACCATTGTGCCGAGGAGGAGGTGGAGGGGGAGGAGGAGGAGGAGGAGAGGAGGAGGAGGAGGAGGGGAGGAGGAGGAGGAGGAGGAGGAGGAGGAGGAGGAGGAGGAGGAGGAGGAGGAGGATGAGGATGAGGATGGAGGAGGAGGAGAAGGAGGTGGAGGAGGTGCGGAGGAGTGATGATGAGGGGGAGGAGGGGGGGGGAGGATGAGGAGGGGGAGGAGGAGGTTGAGGAGGAGGAGGAGGAGGAGGGAGGAGGAGGAGGAGGAGGAGGATGAGGAGATGAGGAGGAAGGAGGAAAACGAGGAGGAAGGCGATGAGGAAGACGAGGAGCAAGACGAGGAGGGATGGGGGATAGGGGGGGAGGAGAGGAGGAGGATGGAGGAGGAGGAGGCGGAGGAGGAGGTAGGAGGAGGAGGAGGAGGGGGAGGAGGTGGAGGAGGAGGAGGAGGAGAGAGGGGAGATGAGGAGGGGGAGGAGGAGGAGGATGAGGAGGATGGCAGAGGAGGAGGGAGGAGGAGGATGGGGATGCAGAGGAGGAGGAGGAGTAGGAGGAGGATGAGGAGGAGGAGGAAGAGGAGGAGGAGGAGGAGGAGGAGGAGGAGGAGGAGGAGGAGGAGGAGGATGAGGAGGATGAGGGGCAGGAGCTGGAGGAGCAGGAGGGGGATTAGGAGAGGATGAACAAACGATGTAACAGTTGGAAGGAATTTCGGACCTCTACTACTCCTTCTCCGAAGTTCGGAGGCATTTTTTCGGGGGCGCTCTTTTATTATTTTGGGAGTATGTGCTGCTTCTCGTTGCCACCCACGGTTAGACCCTCAAACTATAGGTCGGGGCGCACCCTGGTCTGGGATCTCGAGATTTGAAGGAGTGGGCTGATCCACGAGCCTCGATCCTCGAAGTGGCGAGTCGGCTACACGCAATAATGACTCTAGACAATAATGACCTTCGGTGCGCGGCTTGCTGCTCGGTGGCATGCGGTCCCACAGTGGTGGCCTGAGTGCTTGCGCTTGGCCCCCCCCGTGACCTCCGATCGGGTGTTGCCAGAAATGCCCCCTGCCCCGCAGCCCCACACGAGGCCCACAGGTCAAGGGCACTTGCGGCAGCACCCGACCTGAAAGCCGCGCGCCAGAAGCGTTTCCAGCGAAAGGACCAACCAGATTTCGGGTCGTAATTCGGACCTCTGGCGAGGCGCAGCCGTTGGGACGAACCCAGAGGCAAGAACATCTGCAAGAACAGACGAAAACGTCCGAGACGTGTCACTCTTGCGTGTGCGGCCCCAGGGGGATGTGGAGGAGGAGGAGGAGGAGGAGGAGGAGGAGGTAGGAGGGAGGAGGAGGAGGAGGCCGAGGAGGAGGAGGAGGAGGAAGAGGGGAGGAGGAGGGAGGAGGAGGAGGAGGAATAAGAATAAGGGGAAAGGAGGAGGAGGAGGAGGAGGAGGAGGAGGGGAGGAGGGGAGGAGGAGGAGGAGGAGGAGGAGGAGGAGGAGGTGGAGGAGGAGGAGGAGGAGGAGGAGGGAGGAGGAGGAGAGGAGAAGGAGGGAAAGAAGGAGGAAGAGGAGAAAAGGAGGAGGAGGAGGAGGAGGAGGAGGAGGAGGTGGAGGAGGAGGAGGAGGAGGGAGGAGGAGGCGGAGGAGGCGGAGGAGAGAATGAGGAGGAGGAGGAGGAGGAGGAGAAGAAGGAGGAGGAAGAGAAGGAGGGGGAGGAGGAGGAGGAGGAGGATGAGGAGGATGAGGAGGATGAGGATGAGGATGAGGAGGAAGAGGAAAAAGAGGAGGAAACAGAGAAAAAGGAGGAAGGGGCCGCCCTTGCGCGTGTCCGAGCGAGGCCCGCACACCTTCCCGCCGCACCGCTCCAGCCCCGCGGTGCAGGCGCCGGCGGTCCGCGGCGGCGACCCAGCGCACGCTGGCGGCGGCTCGCGGCGCGGGCCGCCCTCGCCAGGGGCCCCCTCCATCCTCCTCCCTCTTCCATCCTACTCCTCCCTCCTCTCCTCTCTCCTCTCCTCCTCTCCTCCTCCTCCTCCTCCGCTCGCCTCCTCCGCCACCTCCTCCGCCCGCCTCCTCCTCCTCCTCCTCTCCTCCTCCTCCTCCTCCTCCTCTCCTCCTCCTCCTCCTCATTCCGGCCTCTGCTCCTCTTCTACTTCTCCTGCTTCTCTCTCTTCTTCCTCCTTCCCTCCTCCTCCCTTCCCTCCATCTCCCTTTCCTCTCTCCGCCTCTTCCTCCTCCTCTCTCTCCTCCTGCTTCTTCTTCTTCTTCCTCCTCCTCCTCCTCCTCTCCTCTCTCATCTTTCCTCTTTCCTCTTTCCTCCTCCCTCCTCCCTCCTCCCTTCCTCCCTTCCTCCCTTCCTCCCTTCCTCCCTCCTTCCCTCCCTCCCTCTCCTGTCTGTGTTCCGTCCCCTCCTCTGCACCTCGTCTCCCTCCCTTCCCGCTTCAATTGCTCCCTGCTCCTGGTTCGTCCCTCCGCCTTCCTCCTTCTCCCTCCTCCCTCACTCCCTGCCTCTCCCGTTCGTCTGCCTCCTGATCCATTTCTTCCTCCTCCTCCTCCTTTCTCCTGGGATATGGTTGACGTGGGACCAAGATGTCGCGGCCCATGCGATTACTTTCTCGATCGTGTCCACGGCTTAGAGGTTTTCTGGGGTCGGCTCCATAGAAGCGGAATCGTATCACGCATGCTTCGGATGACCACGAGATTACCAAGGTGCCACGATGTGGATCGGAATGCAATTCTTGAGTTCGGGCTCAGGGGCCCCTGGAGACACCTGGACCCAAAATGTCAACGGGTCACCTGTGCAAGGCCCACCTTCTGCCGAACCGCTCTTCATCTCGACCAGGACACTCCATCATGTGTTCTGACCACCTGAAGATCGGAAACTGTGATATCCTGGACATGCGCCCAGGAGAGAGACATAACGACCCCTATACTGCGGCGGATCCTCCTCCGCCTCGTTCTCATTCCTGCCCTGCTCTCTCCCGCTCAATCTCCACCCCTTCCCTCTTCTCCCCTCATCTCTTATTCTCTTCTCCGTCTCCTTCTTCTTCTTCTTCTCCTCCTCCTCTTCCTCTCTCCCTCCCTTCTTCTCCTGTGGATGCCTTCTCCCCGACCCCGCTCGCCCCTCGCCCTCCCCCTCGCCCTCCCCCTCCAAACAGGCCTGCTGGACTTCTGCTCGGAGGCCGCGAACGGCATGGCCAGCGAGCTCACGCGGCCGGGCTCCACGCCGGACGAGGCCGAGGAGCGACGTCAGCGCCGAGGCGACGGCGGCGAGCACTCGCAGGATGACGCCGCGGAGCAGCGCGAGAGCCGAGCAGCCGGCGGCGAGCCAGACGAGCGGCCGCACGTGCCCCCTTACGGACCGAGCACGGGCAAGCCGCAGCGCACAAGCGCGCCACCGCCACAGGCTCGCGAGCAGGCGGGAGTGCGGTGGCTGCGCAGGCCTCGCGCAGGTCGCCCCGCGCCCTCCGCCCATCGCCGAAAATACGATTCACAAGAAAGTTCGGATCGGGGATAATTGGCACAGTGCCCACGCACTGAGGAAGAGGTCCAGCCTCAACGAGAAGTGCAGAGGCGTTCCGCGATCGATCGTGGACTCAGCGACCAGCAAGTCCGCTGCAGGCCATGCCCCGCGTCGACCTGCCGTAGTGCGTGGGGAAATGCCACCCCCAAAACCGCGCTGGATAATGCAGCGTCTTGAACCAAACTGGACGCGGACGAGCAGGGGCCGCTGGGGGACAGGCAGGCGTGGAGCCAAAAAGCGGCCAATCCTGGCGCTTGCATGTCGACATGCGTCGGGGTGTGCTGCTGTTGCTACTGCTGCCGCCGCCTCCCCCTACGGCGCCGGAAAGGTCTGTGCCACGTGCGCGCGAGGTGCGCGCTGGTCAGTGGCCAGCTCGAAGTAGTGTAGCTCCCAGCCTCCCTCACCTACACTCGATGCATTGTAAGTGGAGGTCCTGCCTGGTCACTGAACTTTGGAATCGCTTGGGCGCTGTCCGATTTTGAAGGGGGGAGAATAGGGGGGAAGGGGAAGGGGCAGGGGGATGACGGGAACGAAAACGAAGATGAGGAGTACATGAGGAATTCCGTATCAACTAAGTTGCAAAACACTCTCTAGTAATCCCCATGCAAGCACGTCTTAGTCACTGCGCGAAGCACCGCCTTGAAAGAAACAACGCCTCATGGGCTCGCAATTCAGACGACAGCTTCGTTTTGAAAGGAAGGCCTCCCCCTGTCATCCGAGCAATAACGAATACGACAAGGTTGGTTCTTAAATTTTAAAGAAGTGTCCAACGACAACCCCGCTTTGAAAAGGAGCAGCCCTCTACCCGTCAACATGTTGCACAATGTGAGACCCCCGATCGGACAATCTGGCAGAGTCTCAAGCGAGAACGCCATTTTGAAAAACAGCTGCCCTTCTGTGTAACCGTTGCGCAGTGTCATACGTCGGGTAACACAGATGGAGGAATTTTCGAGCGAGAGCTTCACTGTGAAAAGTAATCGCCCTCTATTAGTGTAGCAGCTTTTTCTTGTGTGTGTGTGTGTGAAACGAATGCACGCGGCGCCAAGGCCAGAGCCCCACTTTGAAAGCGACCCGAACTCCATCTGAGTAACTTAACTGCTGGAAGATGGAAGCTTCAAAACGTAGCCCAATGTCAAACAGATCTGAGACGATGCACCCGGCCCGCCCCAAAGACATGTCTGGTGGCGCGGCAGGAGGAGGAGGAGTAGGAGAAGGAGGAGGAGGAGGAGGAGGAGCAAGAGGAGGAGGAGGAGGAGGAGGAGGAGGAGGAGGAGGAGGAGGAGGAGGAGGAGGAGGAGGAGGAGGAGGAGGAGGAGGATGAGGAGAAGGAGAGGAGGAGGAGGAGGAGGCGGAGGAGGAGGGAAGGAGGGGAGGAGGAGGAGGAGGAGGGGAGGAGGAGGAGGAGGAGGAGGAGGAGGAGGGGACGGAGGAGGGGAACGAACGAACGAACGAACCCTCCAGGCGCGTGCCTGAGTTATCTACACTTGCAAAGCACCAGGATCGGCCCTTGCAATCGAAGACTTCGGGAGATGCCCGTCCAAAAAGATTCAGTGTTTCAGGTCCCCTGTCTACTGCCCTAGAGGACCGCAGAATGATGCGAGCGAGCGGGCGCTTTCAGACTCCCATCCAAGGGCTCGAAGCTGGGCTACAACCTCCGTGGACCAAGATTGCCTGCTGCAAGGGGCGCTCGGGAGGGGGGTGCGCAGACGGAGGGTGAGGCAGCTCGGCGCGGAGGCCGCATGCAGAACGAGGGGGGCGGAGGGCGGAGGTATATGGAGGGGGCAGGAGCGGACGTCGCTCCCTCGTAAGTCTCGCTGGGGGGTCTCTCCCGCCGGTGGTGATGCCGGAGGCATGGCAAGACACGTTTTTTTGCTCATTAGTCTCCGCTACGCCCAGCCCCGCCTCGGCGGCTTTGGTCTCCGTCGACGCCGCGGCCGCGCTGGCGCTCTCGCGGCGAGCCTGCCGCCTCTTGCCGAAGAGGGACTTGAACAGCTCGTCCGCGAGCTGCGCCTGCTTCGGGAAGGCCCGGAGGCCACCGCCTGACTCGGGGCCCCAGCCCGCCGGGCAATGGCGGTCCCGGAAGTCGCGCAGTCCCGCGTTGACCGACCTCAAGACCAAGCACAGCATCCAAGCGCTGCGCTTGAACAACGGCAGTGGCGCGCCGCCACGACGGCCCGCTGGGGTCAGTTCGCTCAGGTCGCGGGGCAGCACCTCCAGGAGGGGCGCGCTGCAGTTGAGCATGGAGGTGACGTCTCCCTGCGGCGAGCCTGCCCGCTCGTTGGCCCAGGTCTTGAGGGCCTTGGCCACGGCCCGCTTGTCCAGGAAGTGATCTTTCTTCGATCCTGACGCGTCTGCGTAGGAAATATTGTAGACCTCACAATAATGCACCAACCAGGGTCCCAGCGGTGCCCCTGTGGAGGCCCCACCCTTGCGAACATCCGTGCCTGTAGCGGTCGCCGTATCCACGTGCTCCGCCTCGCCCCCCGCGCACGTATCGCCCGCTGCCCCGGCGTCCACGCGGCCCCAGGCGGGCTCCGAGGCGTTCGGGTCGGAGACCACCTCGGCCAGGTAGGCGAAGGTGATGCCCGCGTAGCGGCAAGCGAGGATCCAACTGAACATTTCGGCGGTCCACTGGCGGTACTGGAGGCGCACCCGGTCGGTGAAGAACTCCCACACGTCGGCCATGCGGGCCAAATCCTCGGCCCGAATCAGGTGGGGCACACCGACCGCGTACTCGGAGTCGACGAGCCCTGGGTCCTCGAAGAGGCCCCGCAGCTTCGCCTCGCAGCCAGGCGCGACGGTCTCAGAGTTCTCGCACAGCCCAGCGAGCGACAGGTTCCCCTTTCGCCACAGGATAGGCACAAACCAGAAATGGTGGGCCAGGCCGACGCCGCGCGGCACGTCCGCCAGCCGCCACTCGCTCCTGCCAGCGGCAGCGGCGCCGCCAGCCAGGCGCCAGGTGGCTCCGGGGTCCATGGGCCTCAGGACCAGCATGTCGGGGTCGAGCAGAGCCACCCAGTGGTTCCGCGATCGCGGCGGACGGGCCTGCAGCCACCGGCGGATGCCCCGCGGGCGGTTGTTGCAGAGGTAGCGGTCGCTGCCCTGGCCGTTGAGATCTGGGAGGACGAACACGTCCATCTCCTGCTCGAAAGCCGTCGAGTAGTTGAGCGCCTTTTCCTCCTCCTCCTCCTCCTCTTCCTCCTCCCCCTTCCCCTCCTCCTCCTCCTCCTCCTCCTTTTCCTCCTCCTCCTCCTCATTGTTCTCCTCCTCCTCCTCCTCCTCCTCCTCCTCCTCCTCCTCCTCCTCGTCGACTAGTGGAGCGCCTTCTGGAGTCTCGGGTCCTCGGGGTCGCAGGCGAGCAGGCGCGTGAGGCGCACCTCCGAGGGGCCTGCGCTCCTCCACTGCGAGAGGAAGACCTGCGTCATCCACTCCTGGTAGTCGGCGCAATCAGGAGGAGGAGGAGGAGGAATAAGAGGAGGGGGAGGAGGAGGGGGAGGAGAGGGAGGAGGATGATGAGGAGAAGGAGGAGAAGGAGAAGGAGGAGTAGGAAGTATGAGGATGAGGATGATGATGATGATGATGATGAGGAGGAGGAGGATGAGGAGGATGAGGAGGAGGGAGGAGGAGGAGGAGGAGGAGAAGGAGGAGGAGGAATAGTAGGAGGCGGGCGGAGGAGGCGGGCGGAGGAGGCGGGCGGAGGAGGAGGAGGTGGAGGAGGAGGAGAAGGAGGAGGAGGCGGAGGAGGAGGAGGAGGATGAGGAGGCGGGAGGAGGAGGAGGCGGAGGAGGAGGAGGAGGCGGGAGGAGGAGGAGGCGGAGGAGGAGGAGGCGGAGGAGGAAGCAAGATGCCACTCCTGGTAATCGGCGCAATCCGTCACGAAGATTGCTTCAACCTCGACCGGTTCCTCGCGGAGCCTGGTGATCCTGCCACCAGGCGACAACAGGCAGTAGCGGGCCGCGCACCCCACTGCGACCAGCAGCATCACCGCGAGCGGCACGGGCCTGCGCACCGTGCGCCATGTGCGGAATACTGACAAGCGGCACGCCGCATACGCTTGGCGCGCCAACATGCATCGAGGACAGCGGGAGCGTGGTGGGTGCGAGGTGGTGGTGAAGAAGCTGGTAGACGAAACTGATCCCTTGACCCTAAGCCAAAACGGCTACGGAGCCTTACAAAATCAGCCGCGCCCCAACATACAGAATCCCATCAGCCATCTAGGGCGTAGGTGGTTTAGGGCGTTTTTCCTTCCAACTTCCTACGTACCCTTCGAGGAGAGGTTTACCTCTAGCCCTCTCCCTGGGTCTTAAAGGGGGGGCGGGCGAGAGGCGTTGGCGCGTCCAAGATGGCCCCAGCGAGAAAGCACAACTCATTGGTTTTCCTTAGGTTTTGGCCCACTTGGGCTCCTGGGGGGGGCATCGCCATCGCTAATTAAGACCTCCCCATTCCTCGATCGATATCCTCCACGACGGTCCCAAGGAGGGCCTCAAGAAGGCCCCAAGAGGCCCCCAAGAGGCTCCAAGCCCCGGGAGGCCCGAAGACGCCCCCGAGAGCCCGTGAGAGGCCCCCAAGACGCCCTATGAGGCCTCTAGGAGCCTCCAGGAGACATCCCAGGCGACTCCGAGAGGCAGCCAAGATCGGGGGCGCGCAAATGGATCTGGCGCAAGGTCGCCAAATCCATACATCGGGGGAGGTGCCCTCGCCAAAATGCGGCGGGTGCCGCCTCGCTCGGCGGCGGAAATCCGCGATTTCCCATGGAAGCGAGACCCGTCGCTAATCCACGCCTTCTTGATCCTTGTTTGCGATCGTCAGACAAGAGGCCTCTAGTTCACTGAGGGTTCCCGAGGTATCCACATGATGCCACGCTCCCCCCAGAAGGGCAGCTCCCCTCCTAGGTCTCGTTCCTGGATGGGCTGGTGGGAATACTTTTTGGTCAACAGGCTCGCGAGGCGGGT